CTATCTGTCTGTCTGTCTGTCTATCTATCTATCTATCTATCTATCTGTCTGTCTGTCTATCTGTTTGTCTGTCTGTCTATCTGTCTGTCTATCTATCTATCTATTTATCTGTCTATCTGTCTGTCTCTTTCTCTCTCCCTCCACACTCTGTCTCTCTCCCTCCCTCTCACTCTCTCCCTCCCTCTCACTCTCTTTCTCCCTCTCTCTTTCCCTCCACACTCTCTCTCTCTTCCTCTATCTCTCTTTCTCTATCCCCCTCTCTCTCCCTCCCCCTCTCTCTCCCTTCACAGTCTCTCTCCCTCCCTCTCTCTCTCTCTCTCCCTCCCCCTCCCTCCCTCTCTCTATCTCTCTCCCTCTCTCTGTCGACCTCCCCCCCGCATAGATTCCTGCCTGCGCGTTCACGTGCCCTGAAACGCGCGGCAGGAGGTTGTGTGCATGAGGACAAGCGGACTCGCGGCGGCGGCGTCAGACTCACGCAGTTCGGCGGTGGCCGCGCAGGAACTCGGGTTATTTTTAGCGGCAGGTTTGCGTTGCAGCGTCGGGTTAGCTGCTGCAGTTTGCCCACATCTCGGCATCGGAGCGGCGGGACCCGCGGAGGACGAAGCGGTCGAGAGAGTTGTTGACGGTAGAAAAGCGGATAACGGACTGTCAGAGCCCGGGGGAGGGGGACCACCACAGCCACCACCACACGTCCGAGGGGAGCTTCCACCGCCGACTCTGGTGCTTTTTTGAACGGCCTGCTTAGAGATGGCGACCCCCGCAGGAGCAGCAGCAGACGCCCCGAACCCTTCGGAGGAGCCGAACCTTCCCGAACCAGAGCCCGCGTGTCAGGAGGCGCAGAAATGGATCGAGGTGAGTGAAGTTAGCGAGGCCTGGTCGGACAACACAGCGGGGGGCAGGAGCGGGTCGCACCGGGGCGCTCACTCACACCCGGCCGGGATATAAATACTGCTGCACACCCGCACAGCTCCACCGGTGCATCCCTCACCTGTTCAGGGGGACTGCGTGTTACAGGGAGAAGTTTCCCCTGTGTCGCCCTGACTAACGATGTGAGGGACTTTAACACAAACACAACAAAGTCTTCGTGTATTTTCGGTTTGTTTCGTATCCACGGGGGGAACGCCCCCTCCGTGTTCGGACGCGAGGGGATTCCGGTTGCCATGGTTATGAAACCGGGGTTAGGATGTTGTAGGTTACTGTAGCAACAGTGGATGGGATGGGATTATGATGGTGGTCCTCTGCATCGGCCCCTCCACCACCATGGGGCTGAAAAAAACTCATCTGTGTGTGGGAGCCTGAGTGGTGAATCACGATTTGCCTGTAGATCTGCGTTAGTGTGACCTATTTTCTCCTCCATCATGGCCCAGTTTGCCTCAACTACCTGCCAACTACGATATCAGCCCGGGGAAGTAAAGGTTTTTGGACGCCTGTACAAGCTTTGGTTTTAACCAGTTTATCGCTGGATTTACACAAGAGGATATAGATACTGATTTATTTTACAAATCACCACAACAGATCCGTCTATTAAGCCACTTGGAACGTCCACTGTAGATGGACCTTTAACCTGAGCAGAATCAAAGCTGGGTTATATTCTATATTGTATTTGGGGAGAGTTGTGACTCAGGAGGTAGAGCGTGTCATCCGCTAACCACAGGTTTGGCAGTTCGATCACTGTCTTTCCCTTTCCCGCAGAGTCCTCAGGAAAGATACTGAACCCCACATTGCCCCTAACAGCTCTGCTGACAGCGTATGAGTGATGTATGATGGAGAAAGTACTACTGCTGGGATGTTGGAACATTATTCTCCCTTGGTATTTAGATTTTTCTAGTATGTCTTGTTGTGCACACTAAAGTAACATTATCAAGTGTAAGTAAAACAAAATTCACCATTATAGCCCCAAGCTACATGATGCTGATGACTTATGAAACTTGAATGGCAGTCACAGTAGAGGACACTCATCAGTATCAGTTCCCTAAATGTGCCAAAATTTTTTCATTAAGATCCCATTAATTATTTCATGAGAAAATGGTGGAACTGTTGCATAACGCCCCATCTGGCAATGTTAAGGTGAGCGGAAGAAAAAGGTCTTGGATCTGCACTAAATTGATCCCCACATGAATTTTAGATGACAAAACAATTTAGCTAAATTAAAATTAAAACTGACTGCTCCAAAAGTTATGTAACTTCACTGAACTGCAGCAGTGAGTCTCTAAAAGTCTGCAGGCAGCAGGGATCATAGAATTCATAGGCTAACGAATCAGACAGGCCGTCTGACTCTGGCACATGAATTAATCTGGTTAGCCCCAAAGCTCTCAAACAGTCTGATTGTTTTTCTTCATTGTGCAGTTGCAGCTCAATGTGCATTGGAAGTGTTGAGGGTTTAGTGAGAATGCATGTGAGCTTTATCGAGTTTGTATTATTTTTATCGATATTATCAAAACAGATAACCGACAACTGACTCATCAATGTATTGTAACTGTTGGAGCCGTAACCTTGACCTGTTGACCTCAGCACAATAGAAAAGAATAGAATCGAAAGCCTTTATTGTCATTGTACAAGAGAAAGCAGTATAACAAAATTAACTTCTTCTGAATACAGTGCAAATTTATATTGATATTGTATTTAAAAATGATGTGAATATATGTCAGTAAACCATATTTATGAATTGGTAGAGTTTCG